CTTCCCTTGGCTAATTCATCCAGCTGATGTAGTTACGATGCCTCTGGACTGTAGCAGAATGAAGGGCTGAGCTTTCGAGGAGCCACTTCAGCACTGCCTCACCCCCACAGAAACGTCCTGACTGGGCTTTGAGAACAAGTCTTGAGCAATTTCTGAAGAGCATCATCTATTTATGGCACTGTGGAGCAAGTAGCAGCTGTACCTAACCCCGCAGTAACAGTGCAGGGGTCCAGCCCATTGCGAAATGAAGGGAAACAGCAGGAAGTAGGAAGGGCTGGAGGCTGTGCTGTCCCTACGTGCAGTGCCCATACGTTTGCTCTTTCCCCAGATCAGCAGGGCTAAACATGCAGCATTACTTCAGAAACAAGCAAACAAACAAAAAAGAACTACTTTGGTGAGGCTGAGATTCACAAACTACAAACAGAAATACCAGAAATATGCTTTCTGCTACGAGTACAACGAGTGCAAGCCAAAAGACTCAATAAAAGTTTCCAACAGAGTCCAAGGGGCAAGTTTTGCCATTAAGACTTTTTTTTTTGGAAATTTTTTTTTTTGTAATCTTTGAAAGTAAAACAGACTTAATTACCCAGACAGAAGTGGGACTAGCACATTTATGCATGTAACAACACAGGCCTGCATGGCATTCAGCAGGCAGGAGACTGACAAGATAACCCGGCTAGAGACTAAATACACGAGAGAACAATATTGGCTTCTAACAGCGTTTTGTCATTTTAACCATTCTTTTCATAATTCAGCCGTGGTCAGACATTGGAATGGAGATGGACCAAGCAGAGTTAGGGTGTCGATTCAGAAAAAAATATATAATCTTCAAGTAATAACTTACAGGAAAGCAATGAAGTCACAGGAATAGACAAGATTACAGATCTGCATTAAAAAAGGGCTGCTGAAAATACTACATACTTTGTTCTCTATACTTGAGAATTAATGGAGGGACAAAAGTTTCAAAAAGAAGGTGAAAATAAAAAGCAAACTTTTTAATTTTTTTTTTAAGTTTAAATTGTAAAATACTCCCACAAAAACCACTGAGCAAATATAATGGAGTAGTTGGCATGCTTATTGCTAATCATGTAGCTACATACACAGTGTGTTGCATCTGGAAATGCAAAAAAAAAAACCCAACCAACTGCCTTTTAACAAAGACTGATGGCCTGACTCTGGAAATACATATAAATATGGTAAAATCTAGTAAAATCTCATGTGTTTGAGAAGGGAGAGACATTTACAGTTCTTCAGGAATTGTACCCCATGAGTTTCAACGCAAACAACATGAGTTTCATATTGAAGCCAACCAACACTTTACAACCTAACGTACTGTTAGTAGCTAGTGAATTCATTGGACAGTCTATATCAATATTTGAATGAGTCTTTCCTACATTTCAGTAAAAAGGAGTATTTATCTTCAAAAGATTTTTGTAACACTCAAAGAGTAAGTATTTTTCCTGGCAGAGTCCTTTATCTTTGTTTGTATCAGGAGGGAGTTGATAAGAATTCTTCATATTCTTGTCTGAAGCTGGTTATTGACATACACAAATTTATTGCAGACCAAGAGATCTAAAGCAGTAGGTCACTAGAGAATATTAAATGATAAACAAATTCACATTTCCAAAGTAATTCTACCAATTTATTAGCCATGTTAACTCCTGTTGCACAGTAGGGGAGGTAATAATGAAGCCTTGTTAAAGGGCAATGTGATATCTTTTATGTAATGGCTTTTTTTCATTTGTGATAAAGTCATTAAAGCAGCACTGTATCTTCTTGAGGCCTCAAAGAATAGTCTGCATTAAATCTCCTGTGCAAAATTAAGGACGGTAGTTCACCAGAAAAATAAGGATCTGTTCTTGCTAATGGTGATGGCCTCCTAAAAATCATTAAACTGTTCTAAATTAGTGATGATACAACAAAGCAGAACTGTTTAACTTTTTCCAAAGCAAAGAAAATCGATTTCCCTTGAAAATACTTTTTTGTTCCAAATTTTTCTAATAACTCATATCTTACATGGCATCTTTCTCTTTATGAAGCTGCCTAATTTCTATTCTCCCATCATCATCAGGCTTGAATTTAGTGTCTTTTAAATTCAGGTTGGTAAAAGTTTGCATTCACTCCACTGACGCAGGCTGCAGCTCTTGGGTCCTGCCTACCTCTCTGCAGTCACCCTGAGCCTGGTGCTCCAGGCACAGCTGAAACACAGGCTTGAACTCTGATTTTTGGCCGTCTAAACAATAAACTTTTCTATTTTGCAGTGGGGGTGACTCATACAGCTTTGTTCTTCAAGGCCAGTTCCAAAATTTCAGTTGAATTACACTTGTTTCTTTTGCTTATTCCATCTCCTGTGTTTTAAATCTACACTTGCTTGCTGTATGTGTACAGCAATGCTTCTGCATTAGGAGAGAGATGCTGTTTAAAAATGCTTTTTAAAGCTGCTTTGAAGAGATACCAGCCCAGTTCTGATCACGTAGGGCACCAGAACACAATGCTAGAACAGATGAATCATGATACAAAACAAAAGCAAACAGTCACCTAGCAAGGAAATCAAATGTCCTGGAGCTCCAAGACGCAGGTGGTAGGAAGTTGATTCAGAACAGCTTTGCCTATGCTTTCCTTAGCAAGGAAAAAGAGTGAGAATCCCAACAGGAAACACAAAAGCAATGTGAAAATCATGTATCGATCGCCTAGCCGCTATGAAAAATACATCAGGAAATGCCAGTTGGTTCAAAATGCCAGCAAGGAGCAGGCTACCTGATGCAGTAGGCAGCAAAGGACGTCTGAGCTCATGGAGCGCACGTGGCCCTAAGGAACCTGTCCCAGCACAGTCACGCAGCCCAAGGGCAACCGAATAATCAGCTAAGGTAAAAATCTGGCTGTTTATATAAGGATTTTCCTCTGCTTCTGCCTTGAGGGAGAAGAGGTATAAGGAAGGGGAGTGTTATTTCTTTCTGTGCTTTTTATTCGTATGCTGTCACTTGACTAATGATCACTGTTTGTTTTACTTTGGTTCCTAACTACTGTTATTTTTTACCGCTTAAGTCAATAGTCTGGTGAGTTACTGGTTCGCAAAGAGATGCATGAATTTCAAGAAAAGCTTTTAGTGAAGTCCCAGGCTAAACATGTGCTAGGTTAACTAGTAAACTCAATAAATTATGAAACAAATTGAATCCCTGAGGGACTCCAGTGCCTTGAGTATTGTGGTGAGAAGGACCCACGACAGTAACTTGCATTTGAAGCGGGGCATTTACTTCACTGCCCTCGTGCTCTTGGAGTCCAACCCAGAACCACAGTGATACCTTCTGGCTGAGGCTCTTTGCCAGGAATCCAGCAGCGGTGCCAGCCACCCCCAAGCAAATCTCTGCAGCGTCCACACAAGAAGTGAGGAGGCGCATACCCTTGGAACAACTAATTTAATCCTAATTTGCAACAGTAACTGCCTTGTAAATGTCCATCGCCGTAACCCAGAGAGCTGCCAAGACACGACTGTTTCGCTGTCAACATGCAGCAGTGATGCACAATTCCCAAGGAGGGAAAACCTTCAGGATCCCCTAAGCACGAACAAAATTTTCTCACTTCAAAAGCCTTCAGCCACATCTAATTTATGCCCTTACAACATATAAACAATAACAGATTCAAGTGGAAACAGTGAAACTCAGCTGTCTTCCTACAGGTTTTCAACAAGGTTGCCTCATCTTCTCTGGTGTTAAGCACCTCAAATGACGGCACTTTTGACCACTACCTTCAGAAGACACAAAACAGTTTTGCAAAATGCTCATAGTAAAAACCCATAGTAAAAATATCTCCCTGTATACTCTGTGAAATGCAAAGGAGGTGCAACTGTAAAGCCTTCAGGGCACTATAGTAACATAAACAACTATTTAAAATCAGTAATATTTGGCTCATATTTGAATTCCTATTCCATTCCTCCCAGTTATGATATTCATCCTCCCAAATAGCTTTGCTTCTTCATAATCACAGCCTTCAAACACTTGTCCCTGGTACATCTGTAACATCTACATATTAAAAACAGACTCTAAAGTGCATGCTAAGCATCTATTTCAAGCACCATCTTCCCTACAGCTTGTTTTCCAGAAAACTGCCATTGTAATGGACAGTTCCTCTGTTAGTGAACTAGAGAATTCATTCTGTATTTATTGATTGCTCCTAATGAAGAGTCATAAAAGTGCCAAAGACTCCTGTCCAGACACTACTTTATTAGTAACAAAGCACATAAAATCACAATTTAACTAATCTATTTGGAAAAAAAAAGTCTCAGTCAATGGAAAAGAAAGAGATGACATAGTTTTCAACTTACATTTTTTACATACATAAAATTTTATTAGAAAAAAAAGTAAATTAAAAAAATGTATAAATTGCACATTTCTTTCCAGTTTCTAAGACACCAAATAGGTCTTCCAGCATCAAACCACACTTTACCAAAGCACAGATTCTTCAAGGATCCTGCAATATACATTACATATCGAATGTATTCTAAACTAGACAAAATAACCCAGAAGTTATTAAAAAATCTCTCTAAAGGATCTGTCTTTTCATCATTGTTTTTCTTTCAATAGTCTTTTTTGCTTTTTTGTTCACTCAAACTGTGCTGTTTCGGTGCATCTGTTGTGGGCACTCACTTTCTAGAAGGCAGGGGGATGAGTAAGAGCTCCATTAAATGCCAGGTTCTCCCTGCTACAGCCTCAAGAACATTCTGAGAACATTCTTTCCTTGCAAACCTCTCAGATTAAGTCATTCTGGAAGTTTAATCCCCTCTCTTCAATATCATTTAAATTCTAAATCAAATAGTTGAGAAAATAGCAGGAAGAGCTCACTAACAAACAGAAGTAGGCGAAAGCCCATTGCTCAACAGCAAGAGCCCTGCTTCCCTATTATGCCCTTGGCTCTCTGGAAGCACCTGATTTAGACCATGGAAGTGGCTGGAATTCCTCTGCACAATCCAAAATGTGTCCAAGGAAAAACAAAAAGAGAATCTATTTGAGGTAATACAGAATCTGTTCTTATTACCATTTACACTTGAGGTAGCATCTCCATTCAAAACAAGTCCTGCCATGGCCATCTGCAATCCCTGACTTGATTACTACCACATCTAAACCAAAATACCCCTCAGTATGTCCAAAAACTCAGTGCTCCCTTTTCCTAAAATCTATTACTCCAGGAAACCAAAATACCCCTCAGTATGTATGTCCCTCAGTGTTCCCTTTTCCTAAAATCTATTACTCCAGTACTGAACACTTGTGCTGCCAAAAAAAAAATCCATTTCACAGTCTCTGTCCTGTATCCAGCAATCTCTGAGATATTAGCGCAAGTTTCTACTCCACTTAACCATAATCATAAGCATCTCTATTCCACCAGGAAAAGGAGTTTAGAAAACACAGAAAATGGACTAGGAAAAAAAAAAGGAGGAAAAAAACAAAAGGCAAGTATCCAAGAAAACAAAATCACATAAACACATGCAGGTCTTAGTGGACATGAGCTCAAATTCTTTGCTATAACCCATTATTCTTTCTGCTTTTTTTGAACTGAACCCTTTTTGTGATTGTAAAATTACATCGTAGAAAGCACCTGCATTATCCCAGACAGTTTCGGTATGTCTTTCATAGTTTTGTTTTGTGCTCCCCAGAGATGAGACTGATGTTCATTGATGTCTTTCCCAAGAAAGTGAGACCCAAAATGGTAACAGAGAAAATGACCATGACGGGGACCATCATGGACAACCCTGGGGAAGTCTGCAAGTGGTCAGCAGGCTGCTGACGTGACCCAGAAACCTCTGCTTACCCCTTGCTCAGATTCCAGCAGCTCTGTTTTGACTCTGACTGCCGGCATCCCATCCAGCATTAACATTCTGTTTTCAAGGGTGCTGATCTCCTAAGGCAAAACAAACAAACAAAAGGATAAAGTTAATACATATATATTTAAAAAAGTGATGAAAAACATTTGGTTGTCATTATTTGGTCAAAATATTTGATCAAAATATTTGGTTGACATATCAAATGGACATTTGGTTTAATTCATTAATTAATCTCTACAGTAATGAAGCAGTAAGGATAGTTTCTTTTAAACAACATGAAGTGAAGCTAACGAAGATGCTATGATATTAATTTCAACAAAACATTTCCCTCTAGGAATATTCTTATTATGGATGTCTTGTTCTACTACGGATGTCTTGTTCTATTTACTTGTACTACTATGTTCTACTGTTGAGCATACTATGGAAGTATTCAAAACTAGCTATGGTGCCTTCAAATTCAAATACTACCTTAATCTGAATTAATTTTCTAATAAAGACAAGGCTCAAGGATGATGTTTTAAATTAGCCTTCTTCGCATTAGCCATTTATCTTGAACATCTTGGTGAGAATTAAGACATTTCCTCACACAAGCCAGAATTTAACCTTATGCATCAAAACATCCCCATCAGCAGCACAGAAGTATGAAGACATCACAACCACTTTCTAAGCAGGAAAACTACAGCAAATATATGTTTTAAATGACTCATCGAAAGCCACTTAACTCATGGTCCTCCATGAAACGCAGCACTTGACACTAAAAACTCACCTCCACTCTTACAATTACTCTTTAGTCCTCATTAACTGCAGTGCAATGGGAAAAAAAACACTTTTTTGATTCACTGGCAGCAGATCTCTTTAATACAGTATGGTGCCTTTATTCATAAGTTCATAGCCCTGTTGCCAGAAAAAAAGAATTGTTTGATTTTTCAGGGAATGCGATGACTGTGAGAAAGGTAGGACCAACTCTACTACAGCATCTTGCAAAATTCTCAGAAAGAAGAAATCTTTTCATGGTTACTTTAGTGTAATTTTAAGAAAAGAAAAAATAAAAGGTCTATCCTAGTGGAACTTTTGAAATACATTTTGGAATACTTAAATTATTTTAAACGTTTCCATTTTTCACAACACACCTTGTCCCTCGTTTGCAATGTAGCAGTAACTGCCTTTTCTAGTATATTGTGTTCCTTTATTTTTTCCCCTTGCTCTTTCC